GGGGGGGGAGGAGGCAAAAACTACATTAAAAACTTTCCTAATTTTACTTTTATATGTAAACAATTGCTGTACTTGCATAAGGATGTTACTTGATCACCAAGGGGAAGGGAGGAGGTAGCTGGTTGTGGCTGGAGGGGGAGATGTCTGTGTGACGCTTTCCCTGTCGATGTGTGTCCATGCCATGCGTCTGAGCTGGAGAATCCATGGCCTCAAACACTAGAGCTGTTTGGTTCTTTTTTTTCTTTTTTTTTTTTTACTTTTTTTTTTTTTTTTTTTTAAAAAAAAAAAAAAAAAAGAAGAAGAAGAAGAAAAAAAGAAGAAAAGAAACTTCTCACCCTTTATATATGCATATGTCTGTACCTGCTTGTATGACACCCAGCAGCTCCTCATCCACAGCTGCTCCCCCCACCTCCAGCCTTGGGCTCACCATCCTGTGACGGTTTGCTTGGGTTTGGTTTGTGAGGCTGTGGGTTGTGTGTATGCTCTTCTTGCAAAAATTAATTTTCGAGCCAGAAGAAGAGTGGGTATGCGATGGTTTGTAGCAGTGAAATAGTTCAGTTAAGAAGATGCAACTTTGTGTATAAATTAGGCCAAATATTTGCTAAGTTGTGCGGCGCTCACACCTGGTGAACTGGTGGGCAGTGTTCAGATCCTGCTAGTAATGTGTGTGTCCTGTGCCAGAGCCACCGTGTGCCACCACGTAAGGACTGTAATTTCTGTGCTGATTGCCTTGAATCAGAAAGGTAGGAATTGCTAGAGCCTCTGAACATTCATGTGAATCAGAGTGTGAAAGGGCAGGGATGTTGGAGAGCTTGAATCCTCAGACTGAAGGATCTGAAAAAACTGGCTGGAAGGAAGGGGATCAGTGAGCACACGGGTAGAGGAGGAAAGTCTTTCCTCTCCTTGTTTGAGCCTTTAATGGTAGATGTCTGTAGGGAGTGGGAACTGGCCTTGTTAGTGCCTTGCAGCAGGAAGGAAGGTTTCGGAGGTTTTAAGAATATTTTCAGAATTACTCAGAGGCTCTGAAAAGGTGTGTTTGCAACACAGCAATTTTTACATCTTCTTAAGATCGAGGAATAAAGCTGTACATGGAGTGATGTGAGAAGTTCATACACTAGACAGAGGCTTCCAGCAGTGGATATGTTGCCTTGTGGCTCAGCTTCCTACAAATGTCACCATCTGATACCAACCTTGGACCAAAATTGCTTCCTCTGCCCGCCTTGCTCTGTTTGCCACATGCTGCTTGCTTACCTGCAGGCTGCAGCTGTTTTTCAGTCACCTAAATCTGCACGGATTTCAGGATGTAGCCAGAGGTCCGTGAAGATCTTTGCAACACATCCTCCCTGTGGGCGTTAAAAGAGAAAAACTGCAAGAGATGCATGAAACAGAAAAGAGGGTAATCAATCATGGGAAGTTTTCTTCTCGTGATTGATTTGCAGAAGCCTTATTCCACATACGTGCATGTTGCTATTGATACTGCAAGGTGTGAGCAGGGAGGACATGGATATCCCCTAATGTTTGTGGTTTGTTTTCCCTTTCAATCTTCGTCCTACGAAGCATTTAAACGCACTGTCTGGGCAGGCTCATGAACGCGGCAGGGCGTTAATGCAGCTCAGCAGGAAAGCGCTGCATTAAGAACCATTTCCACTGCTGGGAGCCCTTCTGGTGCTGAGTGCTATCAAAGGCGCGGGCGAGGAGGAGGAGCAGATGCGTCACTTACGTCTCTTTTGTCTTCATTGCTGAAAATGTCCCTGAACCTGAAGCAGTTGAAGTATCCAGGCAAGGTGTGTGCCGAAGGCTGGTTTCTTTCTAGGAAAGTGTTTCCAGGACTGCATCAGCCATTTCTAGGAATGAGGTCAGGTCACCGATAACAGACCTTGCAGTGTCTTCTTGTGTTAACAAGTTTTTTTAGCCTTGTTTTCTCAAGAAGCAGAATTCAGTGTGCAGCTCTGCCTTTTGCTTCTTCCCTATAAAGCAGTCTGGCTGTGTTTCAGCGATGCCCTGCATGCACTGGAGCCAAGGAGCCTGAGGTGCTCCTGAGTCAGCCAGGTTGTGGCACGGAGCTGCTCATGATCACACCTGAGCGCTTTCCATTTCTAAATGAGGCAGCAGCTCCCAAAATCCCTCGTGACAGGGATGTTACAGATACTCGGCAAGTGAGAATTGTCGTGAGAACAGCCGCAGCCCAGGCTCTTAGGGCAGGTGTAAGGGGACGTGGTTGTGACTTTTGCCCAGGACCAGCACTCTGTGGTGCAGGAGCTGGTAGCTAAAGGCTCACAGAGATTTGGGAAAAGGGATTGACAGTAGAAGTGGTTTCCAGTATTCACAAGGCAGGGTTAAGCTAATAGCAACTTACCAGTCTGCTGCATCCCTGCAACCTAGAGCTTTCATTTCTAACCTACAGATCATTTCTCCTGAGAAAGACAAAGAAAACCCCATAACTTGCTGAGCTTCCTTAAAACCAATTGCAGATGTTGGCATCTGGTTGCCAAAAGAGTGGCTGTGATTGTTCCTGTACGCTCCTGTTCAACATGAGTTGTTTTGCAGACAAAGGGATCTGAAACTGGATGGTTTGTCAGAAGCATTCAGTGTAGAGCAGAACAGTTAGTACAGCTGTGCCCCTGGCACCAGTCACTTGCATTTAATTTGTTTCACAGACGTGAAAGGGTTCAGCTTTGTAGGCAGCAAGCTCAAAACCAGACACATACACCCAGAACCCTCTTGTGTCCTCACAGCTTTCCTAAAGACCACGCCAGAGAAATGGCGGTAACTGCAGAGCAGCCTCAAGATGCTCAGCTCCATTTAGGTGAGGTGGCTGTTGGCCAGAGATAGATGTGCTGGTGCTGAGGTGCTGCGAGGTGGGAGTCTGGTCAGGGCTGCTGAGGAGGAAGCACAGGGCAGAAGGTCAAACCAGCAAGCACTGAGCTCCAACATGACATGCTTGGTCCGGCATGGTCCAGATCTTGGCCTTTCTGCTCTTTGGAAGATGTTGGCTCTGCTGCTACGTGGCCCTAGGCCAACTGAGCAGCACCAAACAACATCAGCAGAAGTGCCAGCTCCTCACCTGCTACTTTATTTTAGTAAGGTACTAACTCGGGATTGCGTGAAAGGCCATGCACTGATAGAAAGT